AAAAAAAAAAAAAAAAAAAAAAAAAAAAAAAAAAAAGGACAGTGTGCAGTAAACATTACACACTTCAGCAGGCTCATTATTTGTTTTAGTATTTGTGAGAACTCATACTAAATTTGTTAAACACAATATTAAACCAAACAAATCAGAGCTGGTGATCACAGTTTATACATTTATTAAGATGGCATGGTTCGGCTACCCCACATAGGATGAGATTTAGTGTACACCAGTTAGAAGCAGTCATACAATTCATCTCTAGCACCACCAGAGTCACCCCAAGAGTGATGTCATACGGCGATGGCGGGACACAAAGCACCCTTGTACCTCAGCTCTGCTGTGTTCTAATCAATGGGGAACAATCTCTTCATACAAGCTCAAGGGAGCGGCGTCCACAACAGGAGGATGATCCCTTAGCATTCTGTGTTTCGCTGATGAAGCACTGACGTGGCGAGGCTTTCCGTATAACAGTCATCATACAAATGTCCTTTTTTGAAGCAATCCAGTGCTCTGCCCCTCCCTAGCCACTCATACGCCTCAATTCCCCTACTATCCAACTACTACGCCTCTAATCAGTTCAGCCAATGGGAGCAGAAAAATGTCCAGTACTGCCAGGTATGAAGGAACATGTGACAGTACTAGTGCTTGGCGATTGGCCCAGCACTATCACATGGGGGTGGGAGATGTCCTCAACCCCTGTGTAAGCGCCAAGTAATGCACAGGGCTTTCTTATTTTTACTCCCAGCAGCTGAACAGAGGGGCAGGGGAGTGATGGAAAGGACTGCATATGCTGCCAGGAGGGGGGAATTAAAGCAAAATGACTTTGCCTTGTATGAGCAATGCACAAGTTGCTTCAGGTATATGGGAGTACAGGATTGGGGGAATTGGCAGCACATTGGCCAAGAACCAAGCAGCCTCTGGTGTCTTTGAAGCAGTTTCTGGTTGTCTCAACTCCCCTCCTACCTTACCATAGCACATTAGATAAGCAGGGTGTGACACATGGGCTCAAAGTGAGGACTATAAACCACAGACTCTACCCTTGCCATATGCAGAGTGCACCCAAGGGATAG